AGTGTAACAAGTAGAATGGTTCGACGTTTTTTTATTAGACTTAAATCATGATATAATCATGAGATTATTGTAACATGAGATTGTTAAAAAAGAGTTTGTAGGTTCTCATATTGCAAACATCTCAAATTTTTATGCATACCATTAAGTCATTGAATAACAATGTTTTAATGCAAGATAAATTTGTTAGTGGTAAATTGGGAAAACAATCAGTCTTTACTAATAAATTCTGAAATGTACAATCTGAATCATTTTAGAAAAGAAAATCAAAAGAACGACTATAAATTAGATACTAATATTGTAGTTAAACAAGTTGTTAGAAGAAAAAGACATTAAAAGTTTATTAAATCCTTATGACAAATGAAAAGATCACATATCTACTATGCAATAAGTCTAATGTTCGTGTAAAATATGCAGCAAGACTAATTACATTTCTTTTTGGATAAAGTTGTTTCATTAGGCTAGTGACACAAAGTCTTGAATTTGAATTATATAAATTATCAAATTAAAATTTTGGTATAGAAATATTTGTTGGAGGTTGGTTATATATTTCTCCCATTCTTTTATTAAAAAAAGTAATATTTTAACACTATTTTATGTTATTAAATTAGCAGGGATTCCAGACAGATTTTTTTTCCTTCAGATCAATTCGCTTTTGACTGTAATAAAACTTTATTTTTTACTTTTTTTTATGACATGTGACAGGCTGTGTAAATAAATCAAAAAATCATTGTTTTACAGAGCCATTAAGGATTATTGGTAAACGTATATAAAAAATACAAATATTGTTTTTGCAAATGTATTTGCAGTACTACTATTTCTGAAAATAAACTTACATTTGTATTCTTTACCTAGGTTTTTTTTTGTTTTTTTTTTAACATCTTTGCTTCCAACAAGGCTTTAAGCAACCACTAATTAGTGTTGTAAGTTACTGAAAGAGAAAAGATGAAGATTGTAGAGCAAGATAAGGATCGACAGACAAGTTAAAAGATTGCAAATTATATGAATCAGGAAAGAAAGATGAAGGAAACGAATTCCGAAGAACTGTTGTTCGAGGAAAAAAACTAGATGAATAAGAGTTTTTGGAGCACTTAGGAACATTAATAGAAAAAGGATGAGACTTAATTGAATGACGAGTAACACGAGAATGAGTTTTAGTAGATGGCACATGGTTTACCTATAGTTCTTCATTGCCCTGTAGGATAATGATTTTTTGATTTGTTTACACTGCCTGTATCACATGTCATAAACAAAAAAGTAAAAAAAAAAATTTAATTACAGCCAGAAGCAAAGTGATCTAAAGGGAAAAAAATCCGGACGGAATTCCAGTACATCTCTAGTAATTAGAGGATTTTTTCACTTGCTAATATTTAATCTAAAACTTCTTGTTAAAGCAAAGAAGTAAACAGTATGGTGCCACCATTCTCTTATCAAGCTTATTTAGATTTTAATTTATCTTGTTACACCACCAAAATGACAACATTGATTTATTTTTAAAATGTTAATGTTTTTATTTGAAAATGCTAAGCGTTTCATATTTTAATCCTATCATAACATGCGGTTTACATTTTAATCCAATTACAACATATTCTATATTTCATCAACCTGAATTTGAATTTAGCATTCTGGTTGGCTTGAAATACATTTATACTGTGTTTTTAAAGTCGTTTTTCAAAAGTTGGTTTTTTTAAGCCACATAAATATCATAACAAATGCTAATATAAAATAGTGTTTCATTTGGTTGGCAGCCAAGATTCAATGGGTTGAAAATTGTCTTGATAGTGCAAACATCTTTCTTCTGTGGATACATATTATTTACATACCATTTAATCTACTTTTAATCTACCATTTAATGATAAATGATAAGCAGTTGGACATAAATGACACAATAAGTATTATTAGTTGTCAAAACAGCAATGTGCAACTAAAAAACCTGTTAAAACAGCCAGATGCAACTGAATTGCTAAATGCCTTGGTATTGCACATATTACATTTTTACTTTTTATGTTTATTTAAATAGTTACATATTTAATATGCAATCAACTTCTGAAAAGGTGATTGCTTCTGACTAATCAATTTGTGACAGACTTATATTGTCAAAAAAATTATTTTCATAGCTACGTATTGGCTCAAGGCTAAGTTGTTTTTTTATTTTTTCTTAACATCTAAAGTTTCAGATGTCTAAGGTTTTAACAAATATAGGCAGGCATTACATATATATATATATATATATATATATATATATATATATATATATATATATATATATATATATATATATATATATATATATATATATATATATATATATATATATATATATATATATATATATATATATATATATATATATATATATATATATATATATTGAATAATGTCCTCAAATATTTTTACTTGTTTAGATTTAAAGAATGTTAGTCTTTTCACCATTATGAAAGCAATAAAAATAGATTAGTAAAGAAATTCAATATATATATATATATATATATATATATATATATATATATATATATATATATATATATATATATATATATATATATATATATATATATATATATATATATATATATATATATATATATATATATATATATATATATATGTGTTTATATGTGTGTATGTATATTGATATTACCCTGGTATCATAATAAGTCTTGTACTTTTTTGTAGAAGCATCAAAATGGGTCAATGTTGTACATGAGAGAGTATAGTTTAAGTATCTCTTTAATTTTGATTATTTATTTTGATTATTTATGTTTTATTATATAAGAAATTTTAAAACAGCCTGAAGATTTAAGATAAATTGACTCTTGAGTTTATTATTCGTTCCTTTTTGTTTTACTAGATATTTTAAAAAGATCCTTAAAAAACTATTTTTATATTTTTTTGCCTTGTTTAAAATATTCTATATGCAGAGTTAGAATTTGTATTGTCTAAATGTTTCTTATTAGTGTACAAATTTTAAAGGTAAAATTTTAAAGGTAAAGAGCTATAATTAGTTTTATAATTAGGTGTATAATTAGTTTTATAATTAGGCTATAATTAGGTTTCTTATGTGTAATATCTTTCTTGGTGGAATCCTAGTAACTTAAATCATATATGTGGTGGACCAACAAAATCAAATAAGATACTACTATTTTTGTTTTTAATCATCAATGTTTTAGCAATATGTTAAAGTCTTTTATTTAAAAAAGTATGAAGCCATGTTTTTAACTTAAAAGTTTTTAATTGGTTTTGCCAATCAGTCATTATTTCTTAATTATTTCCAGATTTTAGAAACCATAAAAAATGTTCCTGTAGTTAATCTATCACTATATCTAGAATGTGATCTACGAATTCCCCAAGAACAGTCCTTTGTAGTACCTTTGCTCTTTATGTTTATTAATTTGTTTGTCTGAATATCAATCCCATAATCACTTGCGCTACATTAAGTAGTTCTATTTTTAGAACACAAATGGTACACTATTGTTTTAAATTTAGTTTGGGCTGAAATTTGGGGGCCATGCCGGTATACCGGTATTAAAATGTATATATTTATATGTACATTTATGTGTATATATATATATATATATATATATATATATATATATATATATATATATATATATATATATATCAGGCTTGGTCGGGAAGCGGGAGCGATCGCTCTCGATTGCTGACCACGTAAATAATATTTAGTTGCGAAAAGCTGGCCAGATTTTTTAGTCGTTTTGAGAACATTTTAAAAAGCAAAAAAAAAAAAGCGACGAAGATTAATTGGACCGACGAGAGACAATTACAAAAAAAAAAAAAGTAGGCAAATAAAATATCTTTAAACGCGAAAAAATTTAAAGCTAAATAAATTACATTTAAAACAAATATTTTCGAAACATTGCTCTTTTATAATTTTTTTTATAAAATTAAGCAATGTTTTTTATAGAAACATCAACTTTTTATAGGAACATACAACCGTCAACTTAAAAGATTGTTTAAAAGGAAAACAAATATTCTTTATTTAACTAAGTTTGCAAGTTTTAGTTTTACTTAAGCTTAATTTATTTTATAAATAAAAAAGTTAACTTTTTCAATACCTATTTTATGTTTCGCGTAGTTTGAAAAGTTTAACATATTTAAAGCGATTCTTCTTAGTAAGATTAACTTTAACGATTAAAACTTCATTAAAAAAACAATTATTTTTGTAAGTCTTTCTTTAAATCATAAAAATTGCTTTAAAAGATACATTACGATAAAATATAAATACACAAAATTACATTTACTTAAAGAATACAATCTCTTTTAAAATAAAAAATAAGAATATACTAATAAAAGCTATGATTTATAATAAACTTTGAAAATTTTAACAATTTAACTAATATATATTTAAAACATTTATTTTCGTAAACAAATAATATAAATTCTTAAAACAATGCTAAAAATCTCAAAACGTAACAAATCGTGAATAATACAATTTCTAAAACATTTTAACAGAATACTCTAGAACTTTATTTCACTTAATCAGCGTATTTTTTGAACCAATAGAATTAATTTGTTCGTTAATTTGGCGGGTTTTTAGTGTTCGCAAACATTCTTTTTATTCTTTCGCACAAAGATGTTTTGAGAACATTCAAGTTTTTTATGTTTCCATGTATGTCCGTAAAACAAAAATTTTTTGTTTCGTACATAAACTTAAATGTTCTCAAAACGACTAAAAAACCTGGCCAGTTTTACGCAACTAAATATAATTTCCGTGGTCAGTATTCGAGAGCGATCGCTCCCGCTTCCCGACCAAGCCTGATATATATATATATATTTATATGTGTGTATGTATATTGATATTACACTGGTATCAGTCTTGTACTTTTCTATAGAAGCATCAAAATGGGTCAACGTTGTACACATATCAAAAAATATGAAAGCACTGTTTTTAGCCAAACGTTTAAATTAAAGTTTAGTGATAGTGTTGGAGTAGATTGGAGAACTCTTGGTCGTTGGTTAAATGTTGAAGAAAACTATTTAGACATGATTGATCAAGACAATGCTAAAACTAATGCAAAAGCTTATTCATTGTTAACTAAATGGATACAAAGGAACCACAATCCTACACTTGATGAATTAAAAAATGCTTTAACAAAAATGAATAGAATGGATCTTATAAGAAAAGTAGACGAATTCACAAGTAATTATTTTTTAATTATTATTAATATAATGAGATGCAGGGTTTTTTTATTAAAATTGATTAAATTTATTTTAATTACATTTTTTTTTTTTTTTATATGTATCTTTACTTCTTTTCTCTATAAAAATAACATCTATAACAAAACATAAAAGTTAAAATTAAATTTAATTTGTAAATATTTTTTATTCAAAAAGATACAAAATATCAATATAAAAGTACTAAAAACCTCAATTAGTTTAAATTAATTTTAATTGAAAGTGGAATGATTAAAAAAATATAAATACCCTGTGTTCTAATTTACTAAAGCTGATCTCATTAAGTATAGAAATCGTTCAAATTTATGGAAGTCCATAAGCTTGCTTTAATAGTTTAATTTGTTTTTATCAGACACCAAGTCAAAAAATGCAGAAACCTGAAATAAAAGAACTTTACAGGCAATGATTATATATTTTAATAAAAATGTAATCACTGCGAAACTAATAACTCTGAAATAAAGGTCATGAAGAAATATTACTTGAGGCAAGTATATGTCAACTATAAACTTTGCTGAAATAATATTGGATATTCATTTTTTTTTTTAACTAATGTGGACATTAGATTTGATTAACTCATTTACATAACTGATATGTAAAAACATTATTTTGAACTCTATTTTTTTTTATCAAAGATGTTTGTGTTTGATGAATTAAATAAAACTAAATGGCCTGCTTTTTTGGATGCTGTTACTGTTATTAAGGTTTTTAAACAAATGAACTTGTAGGGTTGAACTGGCAAGGATTTCTGGTGTCTGGTCTAAAGTTTCCCAAATTACACAAAACTTATTTAATTTAGGAAAATTTTTTTATATAACTGCCCCTGCCTTAATGTCTCTCTCCCCCCCAACCCTAGCCCTTTAAATGCCAGTCCAACCCTGTTAGCGTGATAAAGTGTAATTTAGTTTGTCTGGCTATCAATGCTAATTTATAATTACATCTGTTTCAGCTATTTTTTAATGTTTTAGTTGCTAAATTTATTAAAATATTCTTTTTGCTTCATAATTTTTACTTTACTAAAAAATTTGTTTGTTTGAATTATTTTTCATTTAATCTCAAGAATAAATTTTCATATTTGATTTCAGATTTTTGTTGACTTTGATATTTTTCCCAAATGTATACACTCTTAAAAAAGTTCTGGTAAATTATACAAACTTTCAGGCATTTTGTTGCCGGAATGTTCGTATGCCACAAAGTGGCATACGAACATTCCGGCAATTCGCCTGAACTTGAGCTGTTTGTTAAAAAAACCTGAACAACAGCGATAGGTAACCTGAAATAGTTTTGTACAAAAACCTGAACTGGCGAACTTCAAAATATGATTCCGAACTAGTTTTTCAAAAAATTAAACATATTCAAAAGGTGCCTTTAATGAGAAAATTCTCCGAGATTTAATATTTATATAGATTTCTTTGTTTGAAAAATTTTTAATCTTTTATATGATCTAAAGGTGTAAAAATATTTAAATATATTTTAAGATAATCAAAATATGTTTTTTTTCCCCAAGTTCTTTGCAGTTACGAAGTTATCGATTTTAAAAAAGCGCTCAAGTTTATTCAAATAAACATTTTTGTAATAATTTCAATATAATTGCAAATATCATTACAATTAGAATTTACATGTCAGATATATTTACGGAAACAAATGAAAAGGTAAGCTATTAAAATTTTTATAAAAGAATTTTTTTTAAGCTTTGATTATTAAACATAAGAATTAAATCACGACATAAAACATAAGCTGTAACATAAGTGTTTGTTTAAATGAAAATATTTCCAGTCTACAAATAAATATTTTGAGTAAGATAAAACAAACATTTTTAAACAATTACTAAGTAACTGTTGTACTATGTAACTGTTATTTTATTGTTTATACCAATATGGCTAACTAGCCGTATTGGTACACTTAGCCTCATATATGTACACATATATGTACACATCACAAAATCTATATAAATTACAAACTAAAAAATATAGTGTTATCCATTCAAAATAAAAAACATTTAAAAGTTTATTCACTTCTTAATTTTTCATTAACAAACAATGACAGATCACTGCCACCTCTTAACAATGGCAAATCGTCATTAATACCCATAGCTACTTGGTATTGTATTCAGCAACCATAGCTCTTAACTTTTCACTGTGATGGGCGTTTTTATCAGACACAATTTTATATTTTTTATCACCAAAATGAGATATTGAATGATATCTTGTTTTTTGCAGACTCATTGTGAAACAATACTTTTGTAATTTCTGTTTTATATTATTTTAATTTGATATATATATCAGGGCTCGAATTAAGCGTATTGCGATCCCGAATCGCGATTGCTTTTTACACCTTCGCAATTAGTTTTTTCTTAAAATATAAATTTTCGCGATTGGTTTACTTTTTTAGTTGTTTATTTACTATTTTTCTAATTTAGCTTCTCTTTTTTTTTTGGCAATTCTTAAAAGTAATGTTTTCATAGTAAAGTACGTCATGCAAAGTTTGTCTTTCGAATAGAAGCATGATCATTTGCTTTTGAATAGAAGTATGATCATTTACTCTTTTGCGCACTTTTTAATTTAAACTTCTTTAAATCTCTGCGTAGAAGCAAATTAAGAAGACAAAAGTTAAAAATAATTTTTTCTTCATTCTAATTTTTTAACAAAACAACATTTTTATCTTTTTTTTAAAGAAACGTTGCTCCAAATTAACTTAATAATAATGATTTAAATTATTATTTTATAAACAATTTTATATAATTATTTTTACTACTTTAAGTATAATAAAATATAGTAAAATATTAGTAAAATTGTGCTAAAAGAAACCAGCAACTTTTTTGCTTTCACGTTTTTCGTTTTAAAGGAATCCCAAACTCTTAACACATGTTGTGCTCATATTAAAGATAATGTTAAAAAAAAAAGTTTGAACCAAGTTTTTTTGATTAAATATAAATAATGAATGCATACTGAGAAAAATTGTTGTTGTTTTAGCCGAAGCTCTCCATTTTTTTCAATTACTCTGAGTCTTTAAATTATAGGTCGCAATTAACAGATTTTGGCGATTCCTTTGAAGCGTGTTTAATTCATAAAAGTTTTACCATTTGACGTCACAGTAGATTTTTAACAAAAGAAAAGTGTAATTAAACAAAGCTTCTATTTTAATTAAAAAAAAAACTTTTAACATACAGCAAAAAACTTTTACAACAAATTTTTGTAAAAATCAAAAATAATAAAAGCTTTTTCTTTCATAAGAGGAACTTTTTTTTTACCAATATCTTAATAATTTTTAGATTTATATATCTTACTTATATTTCTTTTGTTTTTAAATTGAAACAAATATTAAAGCTTTACTTATGAATCTTATGATTTTCATATGAGTGTTTTACATTATATAGAACGTTATGTATACGGTCTCTCGTTTTTTTGCAAGAGAGCACAGTATTATATATTCTGAATCTTACTTATTTTTATTTAAACAATGGGAACTTTTTTCTAACTCCTTTGGTTATTTTTACGCTATGATATTTTTAGTTTTCCCGTCGAAAAAACGTATAAACAATTAATTTCATAAACTGACAGTATTAATTAGAGATATTTGATGAATTGTTAACTTTTTTTATTATAAAAATTTTTTGATTATGCTGATTTACTTTAAATTGCTAAATTTGCTAAGTTGGATACGGATAAAAAGGAAATATCATTTTATTTTACATTTGATTTTTGATAATAAAACTTTTAAAATGTCGGCAACTCCATAGCAATTAGAACCTGTTAAGGTTATAAAAGTTGACAGTAGTATCAGATATGAAAATTCGTGAAAAAATATGTGAGATCCTGGTTTTGCATTAATAGCAACACAAAATGGCGTTTTAAATTTTGATTATAAGGTTACTGTTCAATATATTTTATAACCATCAAATAAAAAACATGAAGTTTGTATATTTTCTCCCGTTTTATACAACTAATATTTAACAAAAATACGGACAAACTATTATTATATAACGCAATAATTAACACATTAATTAATGGCAATAATTCATAATAAATGGTAATTTAAATTGTCAAAATGTCATAAAGCGCGATTTTTTTTTTTTTTTTTTTCGCTATTAGATTTTTTTGCGTTAATTCAAGCCCTGTATATAAATATATATATATATATATCAGGCCTTGTGATAAATAAAAACTGCGCGGCGCATAAGCACGACGCTATTTTTGACGTCATTAAATTCTTTTTATTTGCTTTTTATATTTATCGACATTAACTGCACCAATTTACTTAATTACCGCAAAACTACTTTAAATCATTAATGTAGAAATGTTATTATTTAAAAATGTTTTGGAATGTTTCGTTTTTTAAAATATAAAATACATTTGTTTATTTTCTCGAGTTTGACACGTTTTGTCTATACTAAACGAATAAAAAACTATAACTAAACATTAAAAAAAAATTATAAAATATGCTAATATTTGATTTTTTTTTTCTCAAATATATAATTTAAAGTTTTTCAAATAATTACTTTTTCTTTTTAAAAAGTCATCAAGTAATAAACTGGAAATTTTAATATTGTACGATTAAAAATTGTGCAATAGCTAATATTTTTACTAGCGATTTTATATAATATTTTTTTATTTTTATTTATTTTCATAAAGCGGTTGATAAGCACAATCACACGTATTATTAATAAACTTTAACGAACGTTTTGAATAGATTTTTAATGTTTACAAGGAGTTTTATTTTTGGTAAAATAAAATAAAATAAAATGTTAGAATTAAAATCTTATAGGTATAAAAGACATATTTCAGCAAAAAAATTATTCTTAAAAATTATTCGAAAAACTATTGACGTTCTATTTTTCAGCAGCTGATCTTGAGCACGCTTCATTGAGTTTCGGTATCTTTTAACAAAAAAGCGATTATTAATATTTAAGTAATTTTTTTCGAGTTACTTTTTACAAAAATTTTAATAGCTGTACTTTTTTATTGAATC